ATCAGTTGAAACAAATGAACAAAATAAAAGAAGTAAAACTATATATGAATGCTGAAAATATGAAAATAGAAGGAGAATATTATAATGGAAGAGAATATATAAATGGACCAAATAAATTAATAGATACAGGAGCTAGTGAATGTCATATAACTTTGATAAGAAATAAATGTTTAATAACTCATAAAATTGAGTAATATAAGTATGTAAATTTTGATGGACAGGTACATATTACAGATTTAGAAGTTAAGGTACCAATAAAAATATGAGGAATAGATATTTTAGTACCATGTTACATAGATAAGAGTATGGATATAAACCCTCGTATACTTTTAGGAATGAGTTTCCTAAATGGATTAGAAGATTATAGTATAAAAAAAAAGGATTATATATTGTTCATAATGGACAAACTACATTATGTAAAAAGAATTAGATGAATAATCAAATAAGTTTTTCATTAACTGTATATATACAAATTACTATTGTAGAAACAAATATAACAACTTGTGCTTTAATAGATATAGGAAGTCATATAACAATATTTAAAAGTTTTTTAATAAAATCATGGAATAATAATAGTAACATAAAAATAACTAGAGTTACAGGAGATAACACTCAAATAATTAATAGTGCTAATAAAATTAATATAATTCTTGGAAGTAAACAAGTTACAATAAATAAAGTATATAAATATGATAAATTAAAATGTGATATATTATTAGGAAATGATTTTATACAACAGTTTCAATATTATAAACAAAATAATTATATGATAATGTTACAAACACCTTGTGGACATTTATTAAAAATCTCTAGAGAATTTAAATCTTATAGAGTTCAGCCAGTACAGCGTGGTGATAAATATAATGAAATAAAAAATAAAAGAATATTGTACAAAAAAGTTCTAAAAACATGAATAGAAATGAATATAGAAAAATAATTGAACAACTAGAAAAAAGTTTATGGAGAAAATTCATTATTATTTTGGAAATCACATCACCCAAAAGCTAAAATAAAATTAATAGAAAATTTTATAATGAGAGTAAGACCAATAATGTATACTATAGAAGATAGACAAAAATTTAAAAATCAGATAAATGAATTGTTAAAACAAAAACTTATTAGACCTGATAACGGACCTCATAGTAGTCCAACATTTATGGTTATAAAACATTTTGAATAAATTAAAGAAAAAATTAGGATAGTCATAAATTATAAAAAATTAAATAAATATACTAAATTTAATGGTTACTTTCTACCAAATGAAGAGGTGTTAATAAATCTTGTAAGAGGAAAATAATATTATTCTAAATTTGATTGTAAATCAGGATTTTGGCAAATAAAAATTGAAGAAGAAAGTATACAATATACTGCATTTAGCACACCTCAAGAAAAATATGAATGATTAATTATGTCATTTGATTTAAAAAATGCACAATAAATATATCAAAGAAAGATGGATAATATATTTAAAAAGTTTAATAAATTTTTAATTGTTTATATAGATAATATATTAATATGTTCTAATAGTAAAGAAGAATATAGAAATCATTTAATTCAATTTATTAACGAATGGTAAAAAAAATGAATTGTACTATCTAAAAAGAAATTTATAATTGAAAAATAAGAGATAGTCTTACTTGGATTATCAATAGATAAAAGAGGAATAAAATTACATACTCATATATCCAAAAGACAGAAAGTTTTTCAGATAAATTAGAATCCAAAGAACAAATACAAAATTTTTTAGGATGTTTAAATTTTGCAAAATGATTTATTGAAAATATTTCTAAGAAAAGACATAAAATCCAAGTATTACTTAGAAGAACAAATACTAAATGATGGAATGAAGAACATATAGAAATAGTTAAATCATTAAAAGAAGAATACAAAAATTTACCAAAATTGAGATTATCAGATGAAAAAAAATAATTTGATTATTAATACAGATGCCTCAGATAAATATTGGGCAGCAATATTAAAAACAGATCTAAATGAAATTTGCAGATATTCAAGTGGAATATTTAACCAAACAGAAATAAATTATACTACTTATGAGAAAGAATTACTAGCAATTATTAGAGGAATAAATATGTTCTCATTATTTTTATTATTCAAGAAATTTAATGTTGAAACTTATAATTCTCAACTTGCATGATTAGTCAGGAATAAACTACTATCAAAACCCCAATACAGAAGGCTCCATAGATGACAAGTTTATTTAGCATTTTATAACTTTGATATTGTCAATATTAAATGAGTTAATAATTTTCTTGCAGAATTTCTAAGCAAAAATATAGAATTTGCTGATGGATAAAGCCAAAGTCACGGAATTATACCAATCTATCCTACATATATAAAAAATGACAGATTTTCTTAAAGAATAATTCGAAGATATAAACTCTGGAGCAACCCAGATATCAGAGATGTTCAACTCAAATATAAAAATATTGTTAAATATCACTACTGAGCATCATAAATATGCTATAGAACTCAAAAATTAAGTTGATGCTATTGCAGCACAACTAAAAGATATACCTTCTGAGATAGATATACCAAAGAGCTTAGAAATGAGTTTTCCAAATCAATACCAAACAGGGACAGCTGGAAGTAGCAGTGGACCCAAACGTGACAACATACCAACTGATAATAAAGGAGATTCCATTTCAGTATCATCAACTAAAAAAGTTATGATACATGGAGATAAAAAAGATAACAAAATAATCAGCATCATAGACCAAGAAGATAAAATTCCTTTAGATCAAAAAAAGAAAAATATGTTGAAATAGTCAAAATTGCTTACGAAATAAAAATGAGTGATTCATATTTCATCTCTCCGAAAAATAATGTTTATCCCATAATAACAGCCATGGAAGGAGGAGACCCTTCACTTATAAAAATTATGGCAGACTATGGATTCATGGATTTGATTTATCCAGGAAAAGATTTGATTGAAATTTCTAAGTTTGATGACATAGTCATAAAAGAAGTATCTAGATTTGTCAAGGGACGGAAAATATATTTGAAATTCTATTCAATAAGTTTAGAATATGATGGAATTGTTTACTATCCAATTGAACACATAATCTCAATTGGATATGTTGCAGTCAATTTCCAAATAGATGTTACAGAAAATAATAGAAAAGTTCTGATAGTGATAAAATCATGAATCAGACATGGAAGAGCACTTGGAATTAAAGTCATCTACAACATTGACAAAAATTTGTTTGATAAAAAATTCTTATGTTTGTGTCAATATGAAAATTTGATGCTGGTATCCAATTGAGAATATGGAAAATCAGAAATTTTAAAAGATTATATTACAAGATTTGATATACATCAATTTTCAAGATGTCCTACCACTATAAAAGAATTCTGCCAACTAAGAGAGTGCTCCAATTGCATGTGAAGAAGTAAAAGAAGAGGACAATAATAGAGTACCTTTAACAAAGGTGTATGGAAAACAATAATACAATTGCATGTGAAGACATTGAAGGAAAAGAGCAATAATAGAAAAAAAAATGCTATTTGGATAAAAAGTTGAAATAGCATGTGAAGATGTATGCCCAATGAGGAAAATAATAGAGAGGCAAGTGTGCCTTTGCTAATGTCCTCAATGAAGTAATTGAGTCTCATAAATTTGTATAAATAGAGACATTGTCATAGATAAAGATCATCTTATCTTGAAATCTCAAGTTGTAAGCAATAGTTACTCTTAAAAATCATTCCCAGTTTGAAAGTTTTTCTGGAAATCCCTTTGCACCAAATAGAAGTTTTGTATAAATTCTGCAAGAAATAAAAACTCAAATATTTTGATATGAATATGAGTTTCTAAATCTTTACTCCCATAAATTCTTGAAGGATCTGATAAAAAGTTTCCTTCTTATTTTAGCAAAAAGAAAATTTTTTTTAATAGAAGTCTAAAATTTTATTCTTTAGAAGTTGATATAGTTTGAGCAAGTAGTTGAAATAGTAACAATTCTGTGAAGGCAAGAGACCGTTGAAGGAAGCAGTTTATAAATTCAGAGCTCGAAGGTCACTCGACTCTAAGAATAAAAGTCCAAATCAAATCCAAGGTAAAATTATTAAACTTTTGCTAAAATTAGAATGAATCTTCTTAAGATCTTAAAGAATCGTTGGGATTAAACGATGATTATTTGTATGAATAAATGTCACGATATACATTTGAAAGATTAGATAATTTATTAGAAAGGATGTTAGAAAAAATAAAGAATATTATTTTTCAATTAGAAAATGTAAATTTACCATTTGAAAAATATAGTATTTTAATTAGGAAATATGAAATATATGTTGTAGATTATTCTTATTTATTAGATCATAGAATGAATTTATATTCGAATATTCAAAATAGAAGATAAAATGTTTAAAAGATTAGGATATATGTTGTAATATAAAAAGAATCATTTCATTAATAGTAATATAGACCTTTCAACAAAAAGGAATAGTGATAAGCCAAATAGAAAAATCTCCCAGATAGATATTAGGTATTAGTATAACTAATATTTTTATCATCTATCAACTATTTTTAATTTTTTAAGATGTTATTTAAAAAATTTATGTTATTTGCAATCGTTCACTATCTTAATCGTCCTGTGTGGCATACATGTGACGATTAGTGATTTGATACATAAATGTAATATTTTTTTATTCCTTTTATGCAACATATCACTAATCCTCACATGTATGCCATGTAGGACGACCGCAATAGAAAGTGATTTCAAATATCATTATTTTATTTAAAATGTATAGCGCACGAACCATTAGATTTTTCAGCTTATTTAGAAATTTAAAATTATGTTGAACTGTTGAAAATATTGATTTTTTGATATGTAATTTTGTGAAAAATGATTTTTGAAAAATATATGATTAACAGTAAGGAAAAAATAATAATTTATGCATAAAATTATTTTATGAAAAAATATATAAATAAATATATTTAATAAATAGTGTTAAAATTTATATTTTTCTTTTTTCATGTTTTATTTTCCAATGCTACATATATAAACGCAGAAAGCCAATCCCAGTTCTATTTTCCTCTCGTTTGCCTAAAAATTACGTTACCTAATTGAAATCTCACTCGGTTGATCTCCGATTGTACAATTGCACACTTCTCTTCGACGAGGTAAATATTTTCTGAATTTTTTGATTGTGATTGACTTTTCTCTTCCCCGATTTTGCTGTAATTTTGAGGTTAATGTTTTAAAGGATTCTGTGGGCAGTTCTTCGGGTTTTTAATCAGATCTGACGGTTTTTGATTAGCGGACTGAGAATTACTGGCTTTGATGCGTTTTTTGTTAACGTAATGGTGAATTTAAGTTGAATTTTGGAATACAAGGGATTCTAACGTAGTTTATGTGTAAAAATGGACGGGACTCTGGGATCAGGAGCTGTGTTAAAGAAGAAAAGTTCATCAGGGTGTTTAATTATTAAAAAGAAAATTGAAAATAACAATTTAGGTGGATTGGTGGGTTTGAATTATAGTAAAGAAAAAGAGAGGCCTAGATTAGTTGTCAGTGATTCGGGTTCGAGTGATGAGAACCAGTCATTAGAATTTATGAGAAGAAAAGTGAATGAAAAGAAATTTCGGAATGGTACGTTGGAGGGTAGGAAGAGGGGGCTGGAAGACAGAGAGTATTATAGGAACAGTGGCGGGATGGAGAGTAGTGGTGAGAGGAAAAGAAATAGGTTGGATTTGTTTGAGTTTGATGAGTATGATGATTACGAAGAGTTTGATGGGAAGAAGATGAGGAATGAGTATGTTCAGGACAGGTTTAAGATGGCTGGGCGAAGTAGTGGTGGGGATTTGAAGGAAGTTGGGGGAGTGTCGTCAAGTCGGAATGTGATGGTGGATAAGCGGAGTCATGGTTCATATTTTGGCAGTTCTATTTCTGGGAAGAGTAAAGGATTTGAGTACAGTGGTGGAAGGAGTAAGGGGCTTAAGTTGGAGGAGGACGAAGGACATATGACAATTTCATCGTTAAGGTCAAAATATCAGGGGGTGGTGGATGAGCCAATTAGGCTGCAGGGGAAGAATGGAGTGTTGAAGGTTATGGTGAATAAGAAGAAAAAGATGGATTTGCCTTCTCAGCATAAGAATTATGAACCTCATGAAGTTAAACAAAGAAAGGATTCTAGGTCTGGAAATGTTGTTGAGGAGGATTTATTGGGAAGATCATTTTGTTCGACTTCAAAACAACATAAAAATGGTTTATTTGTTGACAAAGAGAAAAGGGTTGAGAAGGAGAAATTGGACCTGCAACTGGAAACGGCAAAACCATTTATGAGCAAAGGGAAAAAAGATAGAGATTCACAGGTTGAGATTGATACATCGGTCGAACTGGAGCAGCCAGATCCGCATGCTGGAAGCTCAAAGAAGATGGTGAAGAAGAAGGAAGAAAGAACTCCCCCTCCCCAAAAAGCCACACCATCTAAAGGGAAAGAAGAGAAAATGAAGCGTGGTGGGAGCACAGAAAAGCAAATGCTGCGTGAGAAGATAAGGGAAATGCTAGTTGATGCTGGCTGGACAATTGATTATAGACCTCGGCGGAACAGAGACTACCTGGATGCTGTCTACATTAACCCGAGTGGAACAGCCTACTGGTCAATAATTAAGGCTTATGATGCGCTCAAGAAACAGTTGGATGAAGACAATGAGAAAAGTAAATCTGATGTTGGCTCTTCCTTGTTTGCTTCTTTATCTGAAGATCTAATAAATAAGCTTACAAGACAAACTAAAAAGAAGATTGAGAAAGAAATGAAAAGGAAGAGAAAAGAAGATCGCACTAATAAGAGTGCTAAGAAATCTGATGTGAAAGAGACTGCAGAGAGCTCAGACAGTGATCAGAATGATGAAGTGGAAGAAGAGAAGGGGGATGATTCATGTGATGATTTACCCAGAAGGAAGCCCAAGAAAGACAGATTTGAAAAAACTTCCAATAAAACAAATTGTAAAGGTATACAAGGTAGAACAAGTAAGATAATTGGGAGATGCACTCTGCTTGTTCGCAGCTCTAACAGAGGACAAAACTCGGAATCTGATGGTTATGTTACTTATGCTGGAAAAAGAACTGTGTTGGCTTGGTTGATCGACTCTGGTATTGCACAGTTAAGTGAAAAGGTACAGTATATGAATCGTAGACGGACACGTGTGATGTTAGAAGGCTGGATCACAAGGGATGGGATCCACTGCGGATGCTGTAGTAAAATCCTTACAGTTTCAAAGTTTGAGCTCCATGCTGGCAGCAAGTTGCGTCAGCCATTTCAGAACATACTTTTGAGAAGGGGGATGATTCATGTGATGATTTACCCAGAAGGAAGCCCAAGAAAGACAGATTTGAAAAAACTTCCAATAAAACAAATTGTAAAGGTATACAAGGTAGAACAAGTAAGATAATTGGGAGATGCACTCTGCTTGTTCGCAGCTCTAACAGAGGACAAAACTCGGAATCTGATGGTTATGTTACTTATGCTGGAAAAAGAACTGTGTTGGCTTGGTTGATCGACTCTGGTATTGCACAGTTAAGTGAAAAGGTACAATATATGAATCGTAGACGGACACGTGTGATGTTAGAAGGCTGGATCACAAGGGATGGGATCCACTGCGGATGCTGTAGTAAAATCCTTACAGTTTCAAAGTTTGAGCTCCATGCTGGCAGCAAGTTGCGTCAGCCATTTCAGAACATACTTTTGGAGTCTGGGGCCTCTCTTTTGCAGTGCCAAATAGATGCCTGGAATAGGCAAGAGGAGTCCGTGCGCAAAGATTTTCACATTGTAGATGTTGATGGTGATGATCCAGATGATGATACATGTGGTCTTTGTGGTGATGGAGGGGATTTGATCTGTTGTGATAGTTGTCCATCAACTTTCCACCAGAGCTGTTTGGGAATACAGGTTTGTTTTAGATATCTCATGTAAGACCTTTGTGGATTTTTTTTTCCCTTCATGTTTATTACATCATTAACATGGAATTACTTTGAGTCTTATTGTTTATCCTATTGTAATGCCCAATTTATTGTTAGTTACACGATTCATCTTTATTTGTACAAGAATATTATTTCTCGTGTACATGTTACTTCATTTATTAAACGTGTGTCAAATAGGCAATTGCCAGGAACACATCGATGTTACTTGATGTCTATTCTTGTGGATCCTTTCACCCCCCAGAACATACTAAGCTACACATGCGCGGAATTGTAACTCTTGTCCATGCATAGAAACTGCAGCTCTGGTTTTCTGCTCTTTGACATTTTGCTATTACAAAAGCATTATAATATCTGCTGTTACTTTAGCAAATATTCTACTTGAAGATATTGTTGGAGCCCTATTTTTTCCAAGGGGAGGGAGGGAGGGGACATCAGGGGAATGGGAAATTATAATTAAGATTATTTTGTTGGAAAAGCAGATTTTATCAGCTATAGGATATATAATTAGTCCCATGAAACTTGTACACTTTTTTTCATGTTTGCTGCAACTTACATTTTTCAAATAGTTCATGTACTATATCTTTTCTCTCACTCCCTGCAGGCGCTCCCCCCAGGTGATTGGCACTGCCCCAAGTGTACATGCAAATTTTGTGGGGATGTTAGTGGAAATGTTGCTGAAGAAAATGAAAGGACTGTCGAGCTTATCAGATGCATCCTCTGTGAAAAGAAATGTAATCATCTTTGTGTTTTTGAAGCTTTCTATGTGTGGCCACATCCCACCTCTTCCTCTGTTTTTCTTTTTGGTATTTGAAGCAAATCAATTGAACTTACTTTTTGTGTTTTTAAGATCACAAATCATGCAGTGAGCTGGTGCATGCTGTGCCTGTGAGTTCACACGGTGAATCTCATTCTTTTTGTGGCAATAAGTGCCAAGAGGTATAAGCTTTTGTTTCCTTTTTGGGACTAATGCAGAGAAGAATTTGGGTATTACTAGTGTAATTTACTTTCTAGTAATTGTCAATTACATCTTGGCTACAGTCATCTAACTGGTTCTTTCTCCTGCTTTTTGGGTGGGATCCTTGTAGAAGTGGGATTGTCGTGCTTAGTTTGTGTCCTGAAAGCCTTTGTGGCCTAGATGAACAATTTAAAATCATGTCTCAAAATATACAGAAGGAAATTTGAGAAAGGATTTGTCGTCCTCTCTTGTCAATAACTCAAAAACATTCCTTGCTTATTTTTCTAAATGTGCTTGTTGTGAGATGTAGTGTTTGAGCATGCTTTTCATCATGTGCAGAGGGTGCATAGAGGGACCTTGTGCATTTTGACATTCTGCTGAAGGCCCACGTTTCACGGTCCAATGAAGCGAATAGATAAATGAAGTAAATGAATGGAAAGGGAAAAACTCACAAATAGAAGAAAATGTAGTAGTTAATATTTCCTTTTTACCACGTCTTTTGATGCAAGCACCTGCTAATTTTTTTCTTCATTTACCAAAAAAAGGAAAAAAAAGAAAAAAAGAAAAAAGAAAGATGTGTATAGTTGACTGCATAGTAATTAATAATCGTGGAATTTGACAATTTTTTTTTTCTTATTTATCACATGCTTTCAATTCCCTATTTATAATTCTGATGAGCAAATCTGTAAAGTAAAGAACACAGGAATAATAAACATTATGCCTCAAAAATTTCCTACTTCTTCTCGAACTAAAAAATGAAAAACAAATCTTATTCCTACCAAATGAGAGGAAAAGTTTAATCAAATATAATGTTTATTTCTTTGTTCACAAACCATAAATATGAAAGCCGTCCAAATGAGCAAAAGAGATTTTCATATCGATAGCAACCTATTTTATGGATTTGAAAAAAAATCAAATTCAGTTTTCGAAGTATGGTTCCCTCCTTATTGAATCTTTTTTAGCTTCAGGAGAAACTTTTCTCACATTCCTTTTTTTTTACTTTTTTGGTTAGCTCTATGATCATTTGCAAAAGATTGTTGGAATCAAACATGAACTGGAAGCAGGATTTTCATGGTCTCTTATTCAGCGAACAGATGTTTCTGATACCTTGCACCGTGGATTTCCTCAAAGGGTGGAATGCAATTCTAAGCTAGCTGTTGCGTTATCGATTATGGATGAGTGTTTTTTGCCCATCATTGACAGGAGGAGTGGCATCAATATAATTCGTAATGTTGTCTATAGTTGTGGGTAAGCAGATACTGATCACACTAGAGCAGATATTTTGTAATCATAATGTGGTTTGGGATTAAAAAATTCCATTTGCTCTATTTAGTTTTACACCTAGATTTTAGTTTTTCTATTTGTTGAACAAATATTTTCTTCTGGTGTTTATGCAAATCAAGCATATATTTCAAGTATCTGTGAAGCCATCATCTTGTGGATGTGATTCTTAGAATTGTACCGTGTTTGAGCATGAAAGGCAAGCAATCATATTTTTCTCTCCTTTTACTTTATATTTGTTGATGTGCATATAACTGCATAGGTTTGCTAGTATACATAAATATTACAATATTTTGTCATCCTCTAACTGTCTTCTAATATTTTTTGGTCATATATCAATAACTCAGTTACTTCTTGGTGTTCATTTTTTGTCATTTTCTACTCTTGCTTTTTACATGTGATGACTTCCCCTGTATTCTTGCGTTCATAGTCATATATTGGTCTTCTAGAATAATTCTACTCACGATTGTGTGCCTCTTTTCTTTTAGATCAAACTTTAATCGTATGGATTTTCATGGCTTCTATACGGCAATTTTGGAGCGAGGTGATGAAATAGTTTCTGCTGCATCTGTCAGGTAAAAGGATTTGTGACTTTGACAACGAACATAAATCATGGCCATGAGCTTACTCAGTTTTCTGCAGCAGTGTGAGATTCAAGTTGCATTCTGGATTTGTTAATCTCTAATGTGAATTAAATGATATTACATCATCTATATCCTTTTCCAGCACTTTGCTTTTGGCGTGTATGAAATAAAGGGTTCTGTCTGTAGCCGAATATTCCTGAAGCAGAAATACAAGATAAATTATTTAATGAGATGAATAACATTTTTTATTACTTTGTGCAGACATGACTTAAAAAATCTTCTTGGCATTGCTTTCTTCGATAATTTTCATGCCATATTGGGTTTTTCAGATTTCATTTTTGAATGCATATTTTGCAGCTTATGGATTAATGAAACGGTTAAAACCAACCTACCTTGTCTAGGTAATGATAAAAAATACTATTGTGAGTTTTTGGATTATTTATTTCTAATCTGATGTTGAATGGCTTGTCACACCCGGATGCAAATAGACTCTGGCATTATAGGAGTTTATCCAGATATTTCCACATAAATATCTAAAATAGCTACACAGGAAAGATATTGGTCAGCTAGTGAGGTGGGGAAGTTTAGAGTATGTTCTCAATCATTGGATTAAGTTAAACTCCACCATCCATTTGGAGAGGTGGAGGATATACAGACAAAGGAGCTTCAATTAGAAAAAAAATATAAAAATGATGGAGAGAAAAAAAATCTGGGACTGCGGTACAAGTTCTCATTTAAAACATGCTACTTCTGTGCCTAGAGTTGCAGTCTACACAACCATACCACTACCAAACACTTTCTCTATGTGTAGAGAAGCTGACTAGCTAGGCATCAAGGTGCAATTAACAGAGCTAAGTGCCTCAAGTTCATGACAAGCTATTGAATTTGTGAACTAGCTCTAGGGAATTAGACTTCCATAAAGAAATGAGAAGAACGGTGTCAACTTCTAAAAGAAAAAAGAGTCGATTTACTCCATGTTTCTTCCTAAAGGTATATATTTTTCGAATCATCAACCTTAGTTACGTTCAATGGGAAATATGACATTTTCTGGATTTAATTTGTCTAGTTTTACCTTTTCATATCCAATTCTTGTCATCCATTTGCACGTCCATGGATTATATGTAGGATGAATTTCTTCGTTACTTGTATGTTTTGTCTTCACCATTGGGTAAGTTAATAATTCTTCGTTTAGATGTGCTTTGTTGGGTTTTCTTATTTATAATCTTGTCGATGTAGATTGTTTACCGTTGGCATGGTTGCTTGTTGAAGTTTATTGACCTTCAAGAGAAATAATTTTGATTACTGTAAATATTATTTATATAATTAGGATCCATGGGAACTGTCTTGCTGAGATGCCATTTATTGGGACGCGCGAGATCTACAGGCGCCAAGGAATGTGCCGGCGGCTTTTGTCTGCTATTGAATCGGTAAGAATGTGCATTGTGTTACTACCTTCACCTGTCAAGTATGCATCAGTTTATGCTTTCTGGATGACTGTTATGCCCAAGCCCGAAGCATCACTTCTTTCTTTCTGGTCACTGTCATCTATTAACTCTTGAACGTTATACTGTCGCTGAAACTTTAATACTGTTTATTTTATCATAAACAGTTAATTTATCTGCTGTAAAGTCCTGAAAATCTCCTTTTTGGAAATGGAAGTCCTATTTTCCGTATTACGTTGTTTTGGACTAGTGATTAACTTACAGCTGCTGTAACTCCAGACTCTATGCTCTCTTAAAGTCGAGAAATTGATTATCCCTGCCATATCAGAGCATATGAGCACATGGACTATAGTGTTTGGTTTCCATCAACTTGAGGACGCACACAAGAAAGAAATGAAGTCCCTGAATATGTTGGTCTTTCCAGGGACAGATATGTTGCAGAAGCAGTTATTGAAGCGAGAAATTTCAGATGGTAACATGATTGTTTTACCCTGTTCTACGAGTGTCTTTTTCATTTTTATATTGAACAAAAAGAAGTTTGAACCATTAGACTTGAATTTTGTTTCTTTTTTCTAGTATATCTATTGCGCTATCTTTATCTCTGAATCTATATCTGTTGTGTGACCTTCCTACATTTTCTGGAGTAGGTATTAAGGATGTTAAATCAGAAGAGAATCAACATCAGTCGAATGTTTTGGTAGAGAAATCTTATATTGATTCTACTATGGAGCATAATATACAGGTTAGTGATGATCCTGGGGTTTGTGAAGAGAGAAAGATTCATGAAAAAGTTGATGCCATGGATTCCGATTCCCCAGCATCAGTTATTCCTTCAAATGATAATAGCGCGCCTAGTGCATCAGATGCTACTCATAAATCTGACACCAGCAAGGTAGGGACTGTAATCAAGTCTGAGACGGAGGAAAAGCTAAAAGATTCCCCGGCTAGCTTGAAGTGCCCATCTAACTCGTCTAGAAGTCCACACTTCTCTGAGATGGAAAATCCCTTGCTAGAACTTCCTCTCAAGGATAATTCTGAATCTTCTGAGGCGGCCGTCATGGATCATGAGTGCAAAATAAGTTCTAAAGTTCCTTGTCTGGAATCCATTGTTGATCCTTCAGGCGAAACTTCAAAAATGGCTGAGGCGGCTGCTGAAAATATGAACCCTGTCTCTGTTTCTGGTATTTGCTGTACTGATAAGTGCACCATGCAATCCAAGCCAGGATGGGATGATCACAATGTGGTTGAGAACGAAAGCAAGGTAGAAGCTGCTTCAAAGGTTTATTTGGAAGTAGAAGATGCTAGAATTCAGATTGATAGAAGCTCCACAGTCGAGTTTTCTGATGAGGCTGCCGTCCCTGAAGTAAATGTAAAAGATGGTTGTATTGAAACATGTGCACAGAGTACTACAGAGAAAGTCAATGGAGAACAGAGTTCTGCCGATCGGTTTAGTGCACTTGACAATGAAATTGAACTTCATTCATCTGTAGAACTTCCCTCTGATTCTGTTGCTGCTGCTGATGCAGAAGTCGCTCTCGTTAACGGTAATATATCTTCCTTACCTTTTAAGGAAACCAATAACAAATATGACTTGGCGGTCTCTTGTACTGAGGAAAACGTTGAAGTTAGTGGTGTGGAACCAGCTTTTGGTTCTTCTCTTGCCATTTCTACACGGGCTGCTAATGGGAATAGCATGGACAATCAAGATCCTGCATCTTTTTTAACTATTGAAGGTAGTTGTGAAAGTACCATGAGATTGAACCCGGACTTGAATCAGGAGGCTGTCCTTGATGTGGGACGTGACCAAGAAGTTCAGAGGAAAGTTATCGATCCCACTGAAACTGACAATTCTAGTGAAAAGAGCAGGATGAATGATCCACAAGAACTTGAAGAAAAAGTTTCTTGTGTGAATTCTTCTTGGGAAGCCCTGGCTCGAAATGCAGCATCCAGTGACAATTGTTCATAATCTAGCAAGGTTGGAAACAGTCTAATTAAACTTTTATCTCGCGATTTGGATGAGATACGAATGCGACAGTCTGAGGTAAGGGTTACAAATAAAGATGTATTCGAGCTGATGCACATGTTCCACGTGTCTCTGTCAGGTCACTATCGTTGAGTGATATGTAATCATGTAAGAGAAATGTTGAACAGTTGCCTAAATTGTAGTGGTTAGGCAATAAATCTGTTACCTTTCATAACTTGTGTATTGTATTTTCAGGAGATACTATTATTTCATCAATTGAAACGATAATTAAACCAGCGTGTGCTGTGAGTAAAACCTGCTGATTTTGGAATATATTTTTTCGTGTTCGATCTTGAACACCTTATTCTATTCAACGCTTGATTTATTAGAAATGAACTGTTGTACTTCTCATTTGGGATGCCAAATTTTTAAGTTTCATTTTCATAGTTTGACAAGAGCATGTTTGGATGGGCTTGAAAGTTACTTTTTTGTGAAAACATTTGTACACATGGACATACTTTCACAAAAAGGTCACTTTTAAGATACATTTTCTCAATGCCAAACATGCTCTTAGGAGGATCTTACTAAAGTCCAGAGCTAAGACTTGGGAACCACTTATAGGACGTGCAGGCAAGTTACCTTTTCTTCTTTCCTTTTTTTTAATAAAAAAATCCATTCTGTTTTTATAGATATAAAATTCTCGTCTTCTCTAAGACGCAAAATGATATGCTTTTAAGTTGCATCTTTGTGAATACAGATTAACAATGCTCAAGCAAATTTGAGGCTACCTTTGAAGATGCAGGGGGAGGCAATCGAGGAACACACAGGTATCATCCCTTCTCTCTGTTGTGTTATTAGCAGAGTTAAGCTGCGGTCGGGGTTTTGGAGGCTCGTTACAGAGGATACTGACACTTTACCTGTGCTATCTGGGTCGAGCTTGAGGACTGTGGGTCGGGTTGTTATGTTGTTAATGAAGTGGCAAAGGAGTTTTTGGAGGCACCATGCAATTGGGTATTGAATTTTAAGAAATGATGCCTAAAGCTAATGCTTGATTCTTATTTTGTATTTATTGATTGTCCAATGTATTAGAAGAATCACTACTCTATTAGACAATCATGAGTTCACTGCTACTTTGACGAATGGTTTCCTTTTTAGTTCATTTAATTTGGTGGATTGTCCCGCATTGATTCCATTCTCATGAAGAAGTTGCAGACTATTCAAGTTGGGATTAGGATAGTCGCTTCTCTAAAATCGGCAAATAGGCTTCCAAAAGCTGAGAGTAGCAGAAAGTCTCGCTTCATCTTCTCAAACTCTCTTACAAGCCTAAATTTCAAGAACTCCATAGCTGCTGAAACTAATCTGGCATTTTCCATTTAAAAGTTTTGTCGATACTCTAGGAGCCAAGTATTTGGATCAAATTGTACTGCATTGGCACTCCATTTTCCTTGTTCTATAAAACTCAACCGTGAAGTCACATGCTCAATTTAGACACAAAATAAGATTGGATTTACGCTGACATGTTCCTCAGAATCTAACCATCTTTGAAGTTTTGTTTTTAACTGAAATCAAGTCTCCTTTCAAAATTTTGAGATGAAATTCTATGGGACTCAAATACAAGCGCTCAATTTAGACACTCAGAATAGTTTGGACTAATTCAATTAGTACCTATTATGTTGTTTTACCCAAAATCAACTCATCTTTGAAATTCTGATATGAAACTCAACATGACTCCAAGACCCACAAAATAGTTTGGCGTATTCGATTTGTACCTACCATGTCGATCTCCGAAGTTCAACTTTCTTAGTTGAAACAAAAAGACATCCTTGAAAATTATAAGAGTTGAAGGCGCATTCTCAATTCTCCATAGTTTGAAACAAAAATTTGACGAATTCAATTTGTACCTACAATATCGTTTTTCAAATGCTGAACTTTTATATTTAAGCGAACATATATTGAGTATTTGGTGAAAATTAAAATTAAATTTTTTAGTAAATTATAATAAAAATTTTTAAAACGTATAGTTCAAAAGTTGTGGGATGCACGAAAAATGTGGTAAATAGTTATTATTTTGCTTTGACCTAGATTAAAATCGCACGAATCAGGCTCATACAGTTACAGCAACCCGCCCTCCGCTGCCTGCAGCCCGCTCTGCTCCCTCCCCAATCAGTCAATCACATTAGGGTGGCCAATACATAAAACATATAAACCCACAAAATACAGCGCCTTCAATTTCTCCGCTCAAAATCAATGCCCAATTCACATGTACACATACATAGATTGTTAAAGACCTGATAATTACACCCCCACACACCTTCAATCCACATTTCTCTGACGCCGTTGTATCGAACCATCAATTCTGTGATGGACCCGCTGACGCTTCTCCGGGAGTACACAATTCGGAACGCCCTCGACAAGATCGTGCGGGTCAATGACGAGTACCGATTCGGCACCGACTACTCCTTTCCGGCTGCAATCGAGACTGCATACCGCTCCAAGCACGGCTCGCGTTATACGCTTGAAACCCTAATCTACTTCATCACCAACTACCACCTGAAGCATGTAGATTACATGCAGAATGCACGCGCCCTCAGGATCCCTCCTGTCACGCTTCCCGACCGGAAAGCCCTCCTTGATTACCTTACCGGAAAAATTAAGTCTTCTGACTCCATCCTCCCCCTCGATTTCCCGAATATTCCCCACGTCGCTCCTGCTAATGTAGATCGTAATCTGGAACTTGATGGGAATGAATTTCCTACACTGGATGGTTTAGTGAATGAGAAGAAGTCGATAGAACTAATTATGGCCAGGGAGAAGCCTATCAAAGACAGGCAGGGCATGTTGGTTTCTAAGGGATTGTCCCGCATTGATTCCATTCTCATGAAGAAGTTGCAGACTATTCAAGTTGGGATTAGGATAGTCGCTTCTCTAAAATCGGCAAATAGGCTTCCAAAAGCTGAGAGTAGCAGAAAGTCTCGCTTCATCTTCTCAAACTCTCTTACAAGCCTAAATTTCAAGAACTCCATAGCTGCTGAAACTAATCTGGCATTTTCCATTTAAAAGTTTTGTCGATACTCTAGGAGCCAAGTATTTGGATCAAATTGTACTGCATTGGCACTCCATTTTCCTTGTTCTATAAAACTCAACCGTGAAGTCACATGCTCAATTTAGACACAAAATAAGATTGGATTTACGCTGACATGTTCCTCAGAATCTAACCATCTTTGAAGTTTTGTTTTTAACTGAAATCAAGTCTCCTTTCAAAATTTTGAGATGAAATTCTATGGGACTCAAATACAAGCGCTCAATTTAGACACTCAGAATAGTTTGGACTAATTCAATTAGTACCTATTATGTTGTTTTACCCAAAATCAACTCATCTTTGAAATTCTGATATGAAACTCAACATGACTCCAAGACCCACAAAATAGTTTGGCGTATTCGATTTGTACGTACCATGTCGATCTCCGAAGTTCAACTTTCTTAGTTGAAACAAAAAGACATCCTTGAAAATTATAAGAGTTGAAGGCGCATTCTCAATTCTCCATAGTTTGAAACAAAAATTTGACGAATTCAATTTGTACCTACAATATCGTTTTTCAAATGCTGAACTTTTATATTTAAGCGAACATATATTGAGTATTTGGTGAAAATTAAAATTAAATTTTTTAGTAAATTATAATAAAAACTTTTTAAAACGTATAGTTCAAAAGTTGTGGGATGCACGAAAAATGTGGTAAATAGTTATTATTTTGCTTTGACCTAGATTAAAATCGCACGAATCAGGCTCACACAGTTACAGCAACCCGCCCTCCGCTGCCTGCAGCCCGCTCTGCTCCCTCCCCAATCAGTCAATCACATTAGGGTGGCCAATACATAAAACATATAAACCCACAAAATACAGCGCCTTCAATTTCTCCGCTCAAAATCAATGCCCAATTCACATGTACACATACATAGATTGTTAAAGACCTGATAATTACACCCCCACACACCTTCAATCCACATTTCTCTGACGCCGTTGTATCGAACCATCAATTCTGTGATGGACCCGCTGACGCTTCTCCGGGAGTACACAATTCGGAACGTCCTCGACAAGATCGTGCGGGTTAATGACGAGTACCGATTCGGCACCGATTACTCCTTTCCGGCTGCAATCGAGACTGCATACCGCTCCAAGCACGGCTCGCGTTATACGCTTGAAACCCTGATCTACTTCATCACCAACTACCACCTGAAGCATGTAGATTACATGCAGAATGCACGCGCCCTCAGGATCCCTCCTGTCACGCTTCCCGACCGGAAAGCCCTCCTTGATTACCTTACCGGAAAAATTAAGTCTTCTGACTCCATCCTCCCCCTCGATTTCCCGAATATTCCCCACGTCGCTCCTGCTAATGTAGATCGTAATCTGGAACTTGATGGGAATGAATTTCCTACACTGGATGGTTTAGTGAATGAGAAGAAGTCGATAGAACTAATTATGGCCAGGGAGAAGCCTATCAAAGACAGGCAGGGCATGTTGGTTTCTAAGGGCCGGGATTTTTATAGCGTTTTGACTTCTGCAATGAAACGGGATGAAGAAAGGCAAAGAATGGAGGCGTTGCAGAGGAAGGATAATATTGTTGCAAAGAATAGAATTGAGAGCAGGGGGATGGGATTAGGAGAAGAGACCACAAAGATGCGGAAGATTGGGGAAGGGGTGCCAATTATTCTGGTTCCCAGTGCATTCTCCACTTTGATCACAATATATAATGTGAAAGAGTTTTTGGAGGATGGGGTGTTTATACCCACGGATGTGAAGGTGAAGCAGGTAAAGGGAGGGAAGCCTGATTGCGTGACAGTGCAGAAGAAGTTTAGTAGGGATCGGGTGGTGACAGCATACGAAGTGAGGGATAAGCCATCCGTGCTGAAGAGCGAGGATTGGGATCGTGTGGTCGCAGTTTTTGTTCTCGGAAAGGAGTGGCAGTTCAAGGACTGGCCTTTTAAGGACCATGTCGAGATCTTTAATAAGAGTAAGTTTTATGCAGGAATTTTTATTGTTTGCACTTGAGTTAGATAAATTGGAATTTGGTTCAGATATCTTATTTACATTGTGGTTTTTGCCACTCACTACTATGCCTTTTGTGATTATATACTCTCGCTATGAGAATGATTTGGAACATTCGATTGAACCTATTTTATCTTTCTTGGAGGGCTTCAATTGCATTGTTGAATCAACTTTTGTTGCCTCAACTTTGGTACGTAATTCATGTTTAAATAGGAAATTATGTCTTAGACAAAAGTCAAGGGATGTCACATTATTATTTCTTATAGAAAGTTGCACACTGTTATTTTGACACTGATTATTCTGAGTGATGTGGACACTGATAATTAAAGTCAACTTTGGTATGTAATTCATGGTTGTAGTTAATTAGCATTTGTAATTTGCTTAAGATTAGCAAATATGATGTGCCTGACAAGCATAATAATCGTCTTATGATGTGATAGAAATTTATACCTCTCACTAAGGGAAGTTTTTCTCACTAATGATGTTTACGTGGACTTCTACATCAGTTCTTGGGTTTTACATGCGTTTCGAGGATGACAGCGTGGAATCAGCAAAAAATGTGAAGCAGTGGAATGTTAAGATCATTTCGGTCAGCATTTATTTGTTGTTGAGCATGGTTTTTTTTTTGTTTTTTTTGTATTTTTTTTCAAAATTTATATATTATGTAAGGGTTGGCCGCGGTCCAGCCCTGGCCACTATTTGCTGCGGTTTGGATAATTATTTGTGATTCCTTTTTAGTTGCATGTCTATTATTCTGTACAGATTAGTAAAAACAAACGGCACCAAGACAGAGCTGCAGCACTTGAGGTGTGGGATAAACTTGAAGAATTCATGCGGTCTCGATCTCGTTGAGGTGAGCCAAAATGTCTTCCAGAAATAGCTGTGTTTTGAGTAAAATATTTCAGTTGTTATTCAAGTCCAACAAATTTATGTCCATGGTATGGAGATCCAGAAATGGCAGTCCGGGGATTATTGCATGATATAACGTATATTTTAAACTTTTTCCCTTGTTCTGTTTGGTAGTAACTACCTGCTTAAAATGTATATTTATGGGAAGCCAGGGTTAAACCGCCTTTGTTGTTGCCTGTATATCTTTTTAATCCTGAGGATGTATCAGGAGTGTAATTATACTTAGCATCTGTTTGATCCCGATTATTTGAGGAAAAGTGATTTTTTGCTTCAAATTTGTGGGCCCTGAAGCATAAATTACATTTGTTTGGCAGAAAAATAATGACAATGTTGAATTCTTCTTCCATCCCATCAACAAATTGTTGTTTGATTCCCCAAATTACCCCAACTATAAAGATCTCTCTGCTGATCCCCTTTGCAGGGTTATGGCAAAAGAGGGTTGGAAATTTATTGGATTGCCTTTTTACATAATATTTAATTAGATCTCTCCAAATTCAGAAAATCACAATCTGATTTTAATCCGGATCAAACACAGGCTTATTATTAATATCTCTTTTAGAAATTGCAAGAAAATGGATGCTGACTTTTGACAATTGTGAACTGCATTGATGGAGCTGTTTGCATTAGACAAGGTTTGAGGTGGTGTTTGAATAATCTAAGGGAGATCAATTATAACTTTTTGGATTACAAGATGGAAAACAAAACATTTTATTTTTAATTTGACAGAGTTTCATATTTGGTATGCTGGTGAATGACTGCATAGTTCATTCTGTTCATCCAGAGACTTATTTTATCTCAAATCTTGAACAGTTCTTTGCTTTTGATTTTAGAATTATTTTTCTTGTAACGTATGAGCATTAGTTAGTTGTGTACTAAGGTTCAAGGAAGTTGGTTACTTGTAACTGAAGATATTGATAATAATTTAGCAGTGAGAAGAGGTAGAGAGGATCCTTTAGGATGAATTCAGTTTCCATTGACATGCTACTATGCTGGTAGAGGATCCATAAATTGATGATTTTTAAAGATTGCCCGTCGAGTTTGAGTCTCACTCATGTAACTTGTTTCGTTCAATGGAATCATTCTTCTTCTTGTTGAGTTTGTTATTTAAGATATTGTTGTTGATCTTGTTTGAGAACAACAATCAAATATTTGTTGCTTGTTAACATTGTTCAGAAGTATGTATACATTGCTTTGGATTTGTTGGGTTAGCTTCCTTGTAGAAGGTTTTCTGGTCCATATATCCATCCATCCATCCATCCTAATTAAAAAGTTACATGTAAGCATCGCCTAGTTGAGTATATATCTATATTTGCTGCCAACTTATTGCTTGAAGTCACTGAATTAATGTTGCTATGTGAACTCTTACATATCCCCTTTGCCATAATGGTATCTACCAGACACAACATGACAAGAATATAGGTGGGGGACTGCCAGGTAAAGGAGAAAAAGATCTTGTACTCTGATAGAATTCCAGCGTACGTTTGTAATTTGTGAACACAATGAACAGCAATGAATGGTCATTGAAATTTGTACATATGATAATGGTCTAGCTATAATTGTGAATGCTGGGCAGTAAAGGAACTACAAGATATCTTTTGACGCTTGACTCTCTCCCAGTTGACAACCCAATTTCTTCCTGCCTCCGAATGAGACTACCTGCCCTTTAATTCTAGCTATAATATGTATTCGTGAAGTTTACATATTCACCCCCTCCCATACTAATTAAATAACAAACTATCACGTTAATACAAGCTAATTAATTGTAAGGATAAGTTCTGCTGCATTCTAGCTCACTGTCCAATCCTCACGCTCTTTTTCATGGCCCAATCAGCTAGCTTCCCGGCTTATCGAGGGCTATTATAGTCAGCCAAACATAATCATAATTGTGACAATGTGTTGTTAGAACACTATGATCTTGCCTTTATCTTCACATCAACATTTTCGCTTGCTAAATCAGACATTTTTTGCATCTGCCTGCACGACTAAAGTGCATTGACATTTTTTGCTTTGCTGATGCAACAGGTGCAGGGGTTGATTGTACCCTTGTGTAATGTGGTCATTGTTCCAACTGGGGGTCAAGAAGCTATGTGATATTTACTATGTATTATATGCAGAGAGTTAGTTTTGCGTGTTGAACCATATTTTCATAGTCTCCCAGATCATGGTAATACAGTTTCCTAGAACTCTTTCAGTTATCATGTTGACTTGCTTCATGTACAAACATGTCTTAGATGAATGGGAAGTGCTCAACTTCTTTTGTGTAATTTTGAAGTTTTTCTGGGAAATATTTATTATTTTTGTATGATAATTTTCTTCAGAATTAATATTAATTTTTTGGACCTTGCTACATATACATCAAGTTGTACATAATGAGTTACATAATGTCACATGTCATTCTATCATTGGTCAATTTAAAATACAGTCAACTTTTTCATCCAATCTTTTTCCGACACGTCATTTTATATAATCATTGTATGTACCTTTTTTATGTACAAGTAGCATAACGCTAATTTTTTAGCAACTGCTTGTTTAGTTGTCTGCGGCGTGGCTCGGTGCTGTGTGATTGTTTGAATATTTTAATGGTTATACTAAAAGAGATGTATCATCTTTATTATAATAAGAAGTGACAAAGTCTCTTCGACCATACAAAATCAGATAGACCTCCAAAACGGGTCATAGTTGAATGAATAATACAATGACTTATCAACTCTAGAGGAATCCCAACTAAGAAATAAGAAAGAGAACTGTGTGATACTTGTATACATAGGATATAGTGAAAGGCCCGTAGGCTTTGTGAAAAATCAGGTGGACATATATGACGCTATGAACAGAAGGAAGAAGAGCAGAGAAGCTCCCAACTTGGTGGAAGTTGCATTAGACGAACCATCCCCATCCCCGGTAGTTGGCACTGTTTTTGATCCACCATCTGCACGATTTAAACCAAACAGATTATTTATCGACTCCTTCAAGTCAACGACATAAGAAAACAGAAGCACGCATAAATTGTGTACCTGAAGGGTTTGCGTTTGGAGAATTTGGCGATGCATCAGGAGAGGCAGCAGGCGAACCAGCAGCATTGCACCGGCTAACGGGGGGAGTCTGGACATTGCAAGCCTTAGGCAGGGCCATAGCCTGTGTCTGATTTATGTTGAGTCCCAAGGAGGAGCCGCCACCATTGAGGACCTGACACAAGCATTGAGGCTGGGACTGAACCACAGAGGTGAGCTGTGTGCAGCATCCGGTTGAGGGAGTCGATGAGTTCCCGGATATGTAATTGAGGCAGGGTGACATACTAATTAGCACATTGGTGCAATCGGTTGATTGTGCAATGGCACCGGTTGAAAACAAGGTAACTAGCATAAGGGTTATGATCATAACCATGTTTTGATGTTCCATTGAATGTAAAGTGATTGAATATATTACTGAAAATGCCTGTGGAATGAGGAAATGTTTGGTGCTTGATGGGTAGAGTTCTGTTATGTGTTAAGTTTATATAGGAAGTTATCTGGGGTGGGGTGGGATGGAGTGGGTTACCAACTTCTCCTACTCTCTGAAGTCTTGGAAATTTTGTTAGATACGAAGGGCTTTCGGGCCTGGGCTTGTTGTTTAGTTTGATACGAAGAACCAGGGGATTTGAGACAAATGGAGTATGGTAAAGTGGGTGGCCGACTTTATGCCCGACTGAAATGTTCGATGTTTTTAGAATTCTTCTAGAAGTCTGAAGCTATTCAAAGCTCAGACATATTAAACCATTTTCTTTAGAATAAAGCATAATTGCACTTCCTTGTCCTCAACTCCCTAGAGGGGTAAATTTCGGTTGCCAGTCATGACTCCGGTGAAGTGGACCTTTTCGTTTTTGTAAGAAAATCAATCTATATTCAAATAAAAGTTTAAAAAATTGTTTGGGCATCATCCAGCGGCGCTAACGAGCCCAGGTTTTTATTCTCTCTGCATTACCCGGGCTTAAGTTCAAATTAAATGAATAATGAATATAGTGATGAAGCTTTAACGAAAAAATCTTACGTGTTTTTCCCAGAGAGAAATGTATTTTTACTAGTGCTGCCATTGCTTCGACCCACCCCGTCGCTGAAAAATTGTAACACGTCATGAAGAATTCCACTGAAAAATGGTTGCATGATTTTTCGGAATTAGAGAAAAACTTCTTCGCGTGGTCAGGGCCATTGGTCTTCCCACTTTGGCGGAGTTGAATTTTGAGTTTTGTCTAGTCGTTGATTAGTCAATAATTGATTTAGAGTTCACGAGTCACCAAACAAAGGAGAGCAATCATCGAAGTCGATACAGTGTTGACATCTTTGGTCGGATCAACATGATAGTTATCTCAATCTACGGTCCGTTCATAGCTAATTCGTTTGATGCAAATCCTCACATTTTGTTTACTAGCAAGCTCCGTATAAGCATGATGATGTATGAACTAATTGCAACGAAAGTTTCAAATTTTCAAAAAAGTACAAATGAGTTAAAAATATAATCTTAAAAATCAATTAGGGTGCATTTGATTGCAAATAAGAAATTTATATGAAAATAAAATAAATTCTAGACAATTCAATTGTCTAGAACTTAGGGTCCGTTTGATTGCAAAAATGGAATTTGGGATGGAAAGAAAACAAATTCCAAGAAATTGAATTGCCTATAACTTGTTTTACTGGAAATTGTCAATTAAATATGTTCGATTAGTATAATTTTTTATCTGAAAATTTTTGGATTTTTTGACGTTCGTTTAGCTTTATTTTTCATAAAAAATGTCAACTAAATAGATATAATTTGTTATAATTTTGGATAGAATTTGTTTTCATTGTCAAAAAAAAAATAAAAATAAAAAGATTGATGGTAAAACATTTTCCCACCAAACCCATGGGAATGACAATTCCACAAAAACAAGGAAAAGGGGTCACGTGGGGGGCGGGGGGGGTGAAAAATGAATTGTCGAGAAAATTTTTACAATCAAACAATGAAAAATGTGGAATATTTCCATTTTCATGGAAAATTCCCCCATCAAACATGCCTTTATTTACATGAAAATTGTTGATTAAATGTGTTTGATTGATTTAATTTTTAACATAAAAACTATTATACTTGTCCGATTTTTATTGATGGATAGATGAGAGAGAAAAGAGGAGTGAATTTTCTGAAAAATAAAATCTCACTCCCTCAAAAGAAAATATTTTCTTTGATTTTGAGGAAAATGTGTCACGTGACCAAAAATAAAAAAATATTTTTCACAGAAAAATATGTCAATCAAACAATATAAACGTACAAATTTGGATAGAAAAAATACATTTTTCATGAAAAATATTGACAATCAAATACACCCTTAGGTCATTGTTTTTTCTTTTCTTTTGTTTTTGTTTTATTTAAATAGAAGGGTAAAGTCGTCAAAAATGGATGAAAATGACATTTTGAACAAAGAAAGGTGGAAGGTAGGGATGAAAATGTCAAAAAATGAAAAACATGAACATTTTGCGCAATAACATTAAAAGGTAGAGATATTTTGTGTCAATTACCTTCTGATAACACAAGTACATTAGTGAATTACTTCACTAATTTGATTTGACAAGGAAGCTAACAAGATTTGTAAACTAATCTGTAAATAGTTTATCTTTTTAAAAATAATTAGATATTTGAATTTTAGCGCAAATATGGTTTACAATAATAGGCTGTGGGTCATATTTAATGGAATGGTTTCTTGTATTTAAATGTTTTATTATAGATATTTCTAAAGATCAAATCTACGTCGTTGGATTAAATCAATCCTACCCATAAATTCAAACTGGCTTCGCTATAAATAGATGAATATTCATTTGTACATAACCAAGTTTAAACTTGTAGACCTTTATCGTATATAATATACTAGAATACTCCCAAACTATTTCATGCTTTCTTTTTAATATTTCTTCCTTCAGCCAAAATTTTCGTTGTTCAAGTACTTAGCCTCTATACTGATTTTTGAAAGCCTTGCGTGAGATTAATGTTAAGGTCGTACCGTGCTTAAAAACTACAACAATGTGATAATTGATATCATTATTATTTGTTGTTGCACTTGTTGCAATATGGTGCAGAGATGTAAAAAAAGCCGCTAGGCCCTCTAATCCAAGTCATTCCAGATTGATTGATTTTTTTTTTTTTTTTTTATATCAATGCTCCAATTAATTGAAATTGTTTTTCTTGTAAAGCGGGATTAAACACACCATGCATTTGAAAGTCCTACGTGACATAAAATTGTGGAGAAGTGCTATTTGTATAGCGCAACAAATAGCATTTTTGAAATTTAAGATATTAATGGTATAATTAGTTTGTCTTAGCAAACTGTGTTGTCACAAACCTTTCATTTTAGAAAAAAAAAATTAAATAATTATATAAAATAAATAATAGAGAAAAACACAAATTTGCTTCTTCTGTCTACCCCCACCCACCCCTCAAATCCAAATCAAGATTTGCAATTTCGGTGACCCTCATTCTCATAGCTCGTATAAATAACTATTGCTTTCTTGTCTTCGTGGGCAGAGCAATTGCATCCTCTTTCTGTATAGTTATAAGAATTGAGTTTTCTAGATTTAAAATATAAGCAAATGTTTTCGTTGGGCCGATATATTATTTGCATATTCTTTTGGATGATGAAGATGGTGTGAGTAGGCTTTTGTTTAAGAGTAATTATATTACCACTACGAATTTTGTTACGTACACCACAATTTTAAATATTTTCTTATTTACTCTTATACCTTAAGTAAAAATTACATAAATAGGATTTTAATATATCTTTTTACATAAAACAATTTGTCATTCTACCACAAACATAAACCCATTTTATTATTATTTTATTTTTTTTGCCCTTTTCCCTCATCAGTGGACGGTTCACAGGTTTTTCGTTGACGACAGTTTTTGGTGGTCCTCCACAATAAAAAAAAAAATTACTTTGTGTATTATTTTAAATTTGATTAATTTGAATATAAAATAGCCTCTGCTACCATCATAAATATGCGTTGTTTTATATATTAGTCAATGGTTGAAGTCAATCTCAAATGAGTTGTTATATCACAAGATATAGCTATAAAATGTAATACATATTTAAAATATGTAAACTCAAAAGGATTTACATATGTATTAAGCCGCCTAATAAAGTTGTACTTGAATAATTTGGGCAGAAGAATCCTTGCAAATTCTGGATATAGCTAGTATATCCACCGTCTTATACGTCTTTGCAAAAGGAGGAGCAATGAATTGGATGGAGCTTCATCCATCTTAAATTTATCCGACGATCTGGCCTTAAACAACACTAATCCACAATTCCCCACTTCAAATTCCTAAACTTAACCAGAAGGATTTATTATATCAAATTTAACAAAATTTCCTCCTTTTTGGCCACTCTTTTTCGAATCCAACAAGTTATCAATTATTTCAAAATATCCATGTAATACCGGGGAAATTTTTCCATCTCAATAAATCCTGAATTCTGAGGGATAACTCAGTGGTCAGATCTTGGGTTTGCTTTCTAATAGTTACCAGTTCGGGTCTCCTCAGGACCACTGAGATGAGTACCCGATTATAAACTACAGGACCCTTTGGGATTAGTTGATGTGCTCGTAAACTAGTCCGAGCATTCACGGTCAAAGAAAAAAACTCAATAAATTCTGATACTTCTTATGGTCCAAATTTCAATTCGATACAACCCAAATGGATAAAAAAAGCAAATCCAACCAATCCTACACTACTCATCTTTAAGTCCATGCATTTATACCAAAAAATACGATAAAAATCCACCACCGATACACATTTGTTGGCCACATTCATGAAAGGATGGAGGAGAGGGCTTGGCTAGGAAGGTGGTTTGGTGTGTGGAGGTCGCTTGGCAGGTTTGGATATTCAGTATTTGCTAGAATTTAATGTGGGTAAAGATAAATCGATGGAATTGTCATGGAATATAATTTTTAATTGAGTTAGTTTATATTAATCAAATTGAGGTGGTGTATTTATTAAAAATGTAATTTAATTGGGGTGGAATTAAAATGTCAAAAAGAAGGAGGAAAAAAAGAAGAAGAAGAAGATAAAAATAAGCACATCCCATTTGACAACCTAAACTGTGGATTTTTCTCTTACAGTTTTTTTATTTTTTAATCCAAATTTGAAATAGATAAGAGGTTAAAATTGTATTTGAAACAAAAAAATAGCTTTTCCAATGTCATCAAACGCCATCATGGAGTAGGTTGTATAAAATAAATTACATATCCAGATGGAAAAGTACAAAATAAATTAATATGAACAAAAAGGGAACTTCAAATGATAAAATGTATGCTGCAATCGTTGGTTGGGTAGCAAGCCTCGTCATGGAGTGGGTTGCCGGAGTAAAATCTATTTATGAAAACCACCATCCATTTCAAAAATTGAAAATAAAACTTACCAGCAACGACATTGCAATTACCGATGTTGGGATGGCAAAGGGAAGATGGTAGTGTAATGGGCTCGCCGAGCTGCTTCTTCCTTTTCGGAGATTTTGGAAAAAGTGAGTTTTGATGTGGTTTAATCAATTTAGGGATTTTGTTGGCCATGGTATAACTCTATGCAAATTACAAGACTCCCCCCCCCCCCCCC